CCCTCAGCTCTTCAGCTCAAGGCGAGCACTCTACCACTTGAGCCACAGCGCCACTTCTGGTTTTCTGGTGGTTTATTGGAGATGAGTCTCAGACTTTCCTGCTCAGGCTGGCTTTGAAACACAATCCTCAGATCTCAGTCTCCTAAGTAGTTAGAATTACAGGCGTGCTGGCCTGTGTCTCTTTCTTTACCTGCTACATGAAAGGGTTGAACTAAGTTCTTTCTTTTTTTTTTGAACTAAGTTCTTTCTAGACCATAGATTTCATTACTCTATTTGAATTCGAAAGGTAGACTAGGTCAAAAACCTTAGTTAGAAAATTCTAACATTAAAAAAAGTTCTAAGGTCAAAGCACTAACAAAGTTCCCTTTCTCACTGAAACCTTCATTAAAATCAGAAAAAAATGTGATTTTGATCCAAAGCAACACCACCGACACAATTTTTTTTCTATTTGTAAAAATTCAACAACTTAGTTATGTGAGCAATCAAGCTGCTCTCATAAACACAAGTACTTATGTCTTTGCACTGATTTTTTTTTTCTGAAGCGTTCTCATTTTTCACTTTAGACTGAATAGGAGTAGACCTCAGATCTGTTATGTTTGTAAAATGCCACTTATGTTTGAAGCATACATTGCAGTTATGCAAACTGAAGGGACAAGTGTGTACTATTCTGGCATTTGGTAAGTTGTTCATTAATGAAGAAGGAAGAAGTCTCAAGCTCAGGTAACAGAAAGCAGGTGTGCTCTCATCCTTACCAAGGAGAATTTGAGTGCTCTATATAGTTGTTGTTTTTTTTTTGTCGGTCGTGGGGCTTGAACTCTGGGCCTGGGCGTTGTCCCTCAGCTCTTCAACTCAAGGCGAGCGCTCTACCACTTGAGCCACAGTGCCACTCCAAGGAGAATTTGAGACTCCCATTTTCAAAGTGTTCATGGAGATGGAAAACCTACATGAGCTACATAATGTAGTATATAGTGTTCAAAATAATTTCAAGTTTCATGAAATAAATATATGCAAGGCACCTAAATACTCTGGCGCCCATTTGGACCTAGGTAGGCAATCGAGACATGATAGAGCAAGCGTGAAAACACTGCCACAATATCCATTGTGCTAGTTGAGCTAAGAGAAATGCAAGTTATATTTAAATTGATATTCTAGATTGTTCCCTGAGGATGTATATATAGCTATTGCTTAAAATCTTAGCCAAAGATTAGGGATTACTATATGTCTTAATATTGCCTAAATTAATGGACCTTGCAATTATATAGATTTGAACTTGGAAATTCTGCCATCTCCTTTAATGGGATGAACAGGGTTTCAAAAACTGCTGGCCTATTTGCATACAGTGCCTCTTTAAAGCCTGCATAAAGGGAGCTGGGACAGATGAACTGAACACAAATACTACTTTACTTAGTGTGAAATGGACTTTGGAGGTGATGAGAATACAAATGCAGATACGCAAGTTCCTAGCTTTACTTCTGTTTCATATTGGACATGTACAATATCAGATCTTACCATTGCCCCTGGGGTAATGTCGGTGACAGTTCTTAGAACTCAGTGAACAATGCCATAATCTCTTTTGGCATAATCTCTGTCTTTTCGCAATGCATCCTGTAGTCCATCTGTCTTGGTGATTGAAATTCAGAAGCATTTTAATTATACAGAGAAATGGTCTGTTCTAGGTCTAGGATCACACCAATGATAACTCGGCATCTTTATCAAGTGTGTACTGTTTTACAATGTTCTGTTTTTAGTAGATTTCATACAGCGCACTTAATCTGTGAATTAATGCTATGGTTGATATCCTATGTTGTGGTACTGTTTAGATGCTCAATTAAAAGTGAATAATCTGAGAAGCAGGGCTGTGTCTCAAGTGGTAGAGTGCTTACTTTAGCAAGCATGAGGCACTTAATTCAACCCTTAGGACTGCGGGGCAAGAGGGGGGGAGGAAGGAAAAAAGAGATTAACTAATCTGAATCACAAATGTACTTATTACCTTTTCTGAGTCTCATATTAACTTATTGATGGTGTATGTGAGGATGTGAACCGAGTCTGCCTCCAGAATCAGTTCTTAACCAGCAAGATTCTGCCACTTCTGCATACCAAATGGGCAATGCAGCTTAGAGATGATTAGAAAATGTCCTTTTATCCCCTAGCCTAGTGAGTCTGACCATCTACTCTTTGGAGGCAAAGTAGATTTTCTACTGCATTCTACATGTAGGAAAATCAAGAAAGCAAGATGATTGACTGGATAAAGATGGAGTCTTTGTGTGAATTTTCATGATTCTGAGATGAACTCACATTGGTACCTTCAATTTACTTCACGCAGGACTGGGTGTCCCCTTGTTCAATGTTTCAGACTGACTATATGCAGTTCATAGCTGGTCATTTCTATGTAAATAGCTTGTTGGATATATAAGCTGGATATATAAGATCCAGAGCAGAATTGCTTTGGAATTATTTGCTCAGAAAAAAATGTAAATGTTAATAAAGGACCGCAAGAACCAATGAGGCTAATTAAAGTTGCTATAATTTTCCTTTGAGCAAAGAACTGGCCAATATTCTTACTCTTCTGTCTACTGTGTGTTTTCTACACAATTCCAACCCCAAGATTTTGTCTATCCAAATGTGGCAACCAGTAAGATAAGAGGTTTGTAGATAACACAAACAGGAAGCCTACTTTGGAAACCACATTCTCAGCCAAACAAACACATACATATATATATACACACACATATCACATGTCTCTCAATTTACCACGAAAACCACCAAGAGCAAGCAATGGGTCTCCATTTTATCTTTTACATCCTGGCCCATGATCAGAAAAGTGGCTTTCTCTCTGTGCAGATTAGCAGTTTAATGTTTTTTTTTTCTTTCTCTCTTTTTTTTTTTAACCACAGCAGAATCTAAGAAGAAGAAAAAGGAAGGCAAGAAACAGGAGAAGATGATGGATTGAGAGGGCCACCTTCAGCGGAGCACAGAGCAAGATCTGTTAACCATTGCATTTATACCTACTGTAGGCTTTTTATTTGAAACTATCTCTAGCTTAAGTACACAATAGGTAAAAACAAAGAGGAAAGAAAACTTTGTAGTAGTGTTTTAAAAATGTATACCATAGTAGCACTAGGGGCTTATTCTAAGGGACGGTAATACTATTTAGGAAGTTGACTTCTAGTACATGATACATGATAGACAATGAGGTAAGTTTTTTGAAGCTATATGATATTTCACATTTACATTTTTTTACATTTTGTTCTTTTTTGACAACAATTTAAATGTTACGACCATGTAAACTACTTCTCATTAGATTTTTTTCCCCCACCTAGACTTTTTTTTCCCCACTTGTGGAAAAAAAAATATATAGGCTAAACACAATAGCAATACAATGTAATCACTCTATGTGAGGAAACGATTCTTGTTTCTGCCCATGGATTTTAAACAAATGAGTCAGCAAAATGTATGAGGACAGGGGAGCAGAGCCATGACCTAGTACAATGTCAATGCCATTGCTTTTGTTTTTCAAGCAAACCATTAAAGCAGGAAATTATTTCACTTTGGCAGAAATGTTTGCTCTCTTGATGAAATTTTTTTTTCCATCTGAGGAAAAAAGTGCTAGGAAAATAAATCAATGTGATGCTGAATAAAAGGTGCTTTGTGTTCAATAATTGGATACTGTAACTCTTCTTTTGTTAACGACAGAGTAAGAATTTAAAACACAACTGGTTAAATCATCCTTGATCACAAATGGTACATAACTTTTTTTTTGAGGGAATGGGGTACTTTGTAGAGGATGAGTATTCTTAATTCAAAATGCCAAGCCTGAAATGCCTAAAAAACTGAAAACAAAGCAAAACAAAACAAAACAAATCAAAACTGTAAGGACAGACAGAACACTACAGTGGAAAATTCCACCCTGATCTCATGTGATGGATGTGGATGTATTACAAATAATGTTGTATAGAGTTACTGTTGGGATATCAGGGATATAGGAAAGATAAATGAAATCAGTGTTTAGAGTTAGACCCCATCTTCAAGAATGGGTGCATCATTTATTGTGAATGTACAAACATTCTAAAAAAACTTTTTTGAACACTCCCAAACATTTTAGGTAAGGGATACTTAATCAGTGTCAGTACTTAGTACTACTGTAATTCCACAAAAATCCCAAAGGGACAGGACAATGTTCTTCTTTTATTGAATGTACTTTTGGCCAAATAGCACACAAATCAGGATCTCAGCAACAAAATACAAAAGGGTAGTTTGTACTTACTTTCATGAACCAAGAAATCCCACTCTATTAGATACTGTAAGTACCATTTGCACAACTCCTTATCTACTAGACAGTAGACACAGTTTTTAAAGAATCTATGCTTCTACTATTCAGAGAAATAATATCTCAGAAGATTGGCTGAGATTATCTTTGAAGACTTACTCTTGACATAATCACTTCTAATTCTAAGGTGGTAAGACTCAGTAAGTCCATATTCAAAAGTGATTACATCTGGGCGCTGGTGGTTCACACCTGTAATCCTAGCTACTCTGGAGGCTGAGATCTGAGGATCTCAGTTCAAAGCCAGCCCAGGCAGGAAAGTCTGTGAAACTCTTATCTCCAGTAAACCACCAGAAAACTGGAAGTAGCACTGTAGCTCAAGTGATAGAGCACTAGCCTTGAGCTGAAGAGCTGAGGGACAGTGCTCAGGCCCAGAGTTCAAGCCCCATGAATGACCAAAAAAAAAAAAAGTGATTGCATCCACAGATTCTGGGATAGTTATAAAGTCGATAATTACATAATGGCTCGATGAGGTACCCGGAGGGTTTTGGCAAGTAAACTACTTTAGCCATTTAATGTAAGAATCAACCCAAGGTAGAAATGCTGGGAGTCTATCTTTACCACAAAGCAGAATAAATAAATGCTGGATAAACATACACTGCTGTTTAATAAAATCAGAGTTCCTTATAAAGTGCAAATGACAGACACATGAATAGTAAAGATGGCCCTTTTATAGGCCGACCTGAAAGGGGAAAAGTATTCATGAAGATGGATGGAAAAGATGAAAGGGAAATTTGTGTCTTAAGTGGAATGTTGACAGCAAAGTTCCAAAACGTTGGAATGATGGAAGAGTCCGCAGCAAATTTTATAAGACTCTTGGCTAATGTAGCTACTCCATCATCATTTAGCCAGAAACAGCAGCCCATGAATCAGTAATGAATTAAGGTGAACTAGAACAAACTCTCCCCAGGGAAAAACAGGCCTGTAAATAACCATGCATTCTTTATGCAGGAGGCCTGGCAGAAAGCCACAAAGGCTAGGGATTTCTGCTGGTTTCACTATGATTCTTAGCAAACCATGTAACAATTCCCCAATTCTCTCTTAAAATAAGGTTGGAATACTAATCTCCCTTGCACAGGGTGTAAAATGCAACTTTCTTTAAATTTTGAGAAGTATTTTAACTCAGTCTCAGAGCTTTGAACATCTTGTTGAGTAACCCAGAAACACTGAAACATAAATACATTTTAAAGAAAAAAAAAAACCAGCTCCTCAAATCATTGATTCTCACAAAGAGGAAACAACCAACCAACCACAGAAAATCAGACTGTATTTCCCCATGCTCGGAGTTGTCTGACTGCTGCTCTCCAGTTCATTAGGCCATGAGTATGAGAAGGGAAATGTAAAGAAGTGACTTGTATTTTTTTCACACACTTAGACAGAAGGTAAGCTTTTCATCCACTAATTAATTGGTAGTGTGCAAAGCAACCTGGTCAAAACCTTGATCAAAATAACCAGTGACTACAAATGTCCCTGCTGTCCGTGTCTCTAACCCTTGAGCTGTCCAGTTTATATGGAAACCTTCATCTTGCCATACATGTGGGTTATCAAGAAGAGGACGTTGGATAAAGACTCTGTAACCCTCTATACTCCTGGAATATATACACCTCTGGAATATACATTCCTTCCTCACATCTGTTACCATGGTTAGAGTGGACTTTTACTCAACTGGGTGGGTAGAAATAGCCTACCTGCCAAAACTGAAATGATTTCATTTAAGTCTTAGGAAAGGGTAGGTTCCAGTCCTTTCTCTGTATCCAGGACAGTTACTTCTTTAAGAGTATAAGATTTTTTTCCCCCATAATATTTAACTCTTGGTTTCATAATGTTGAAAGTCTGGAATAGTCTTTTTTTAGATGAAGAACACAGGTTCCCATGTTTCCAAAGGTCCTGAATGAGCTGGAGGTATGGATTAAGTGGTAGTGTGCTTGCCCTATGAAGCACAGATCCTGAGTTCAACCTTTTCTTTATCTAAAAAAGAGAATATTTTAAAGTAGTTCCTCAATATAAAAAAAATACTGCTTTAGCAGCCATTAGTTATAGGATTCTAATGGGATAAAACAAGGGGCTTTTTCTTTTATTTTTGCCCCAAATTATAAGGTAAATCAGCATCCTTGGAATGAGAATAAAAAGTATTCCATTTTTTTAAAAGTTAGAGTTTTAGAATACATGTATATGAGAAGAAATGAACATAACATTATACTTAACATCCAAACAAGTAATGTCTATCTCAAACTTAGGCTTTCTCTAACTCCATAGGAATAACAAAAAAAGAAAGAAAGAAAAAAATATGTCATACTCTTAGAGATTTGTCCTGTCCATTTTTTTTGTTTTTTTTCCATTCTTCACTAGTGAAGGCTCCAAATATAAATGTCAATACTGTGGAAATCACAAGTAAATAGGTATAATTTAATTACATTTGACTACTAAGAAAGTAAAATAGATTATTAAAATTATTAATTCAGAAGAAAATTAAATTACAGTATCTCATTTCTATGAAATGCACTTGTAGAGCACACAATCTAAACAGGCAGATACTGATATAATTCCTATGCCCCTACACATCAAAATTATTGTGTTAACTTACATGTGGGCTTAGGTAAGGATTATCACTATATATTTTCTGTTGTTTGAAAATCACCTGCAAAGTATGCAACTACCTTCTGAGAGAAGGAAAACATAGAAAATCCTGACATCATACACTGAACTGGGAAGAGATTCTTGGGCGAATGAGCAGAAACAGAGATTGCATGCATACATCCAACCTGCTCATGGTAGAGAAAGAAATGTTATCTACAGTAAATGAATCACCGAGTATAACCTTTCCACTGTCTTTGGATTGCCAGATCCTTTAAACATAGGGTGAACCTTAAGATATCTAAGTTTATGAGATTCCTGAGGCCACGGAGAGAGATACAGTCACAAACTCAGAGGTGGATCAAGCATGCATCTTACTAAATTAAAAAATGCCAACAGAGAATTTTTCTGTCTTACATGAATGAATCTTGAGGGAAGCAAGGGGGTGAACAATTTACCTGTTTGATTAGTAAAACTTTAAAGAAATCTTTGCTTGAAGTAGTAACATGTCTCACCAGAGACTACGTTGATCCCTTTAGTGCCTAATCTTTACTGGTTCTCATCTTTTTTTTTAAATTTATTTATTTTTTATTTGTGAACATACTGTACAGAGGGGTTACAATTACATGGGCAGGATAATGCGTACGTTTCTTACCAAGCATTGCAGCCTCCTCCTTTGGTTTACCCTTCACATCCCTTCCCAGCCTCCCCCCTCCCCCCCATACTGGTTCTCATCTTACTTGTCACTCTTACTAACCTCTTAAATCATTCTCTTTTGTTTCTTTGTATTACATGCAGACTTGTGTAATTTTCTGGAAACTTCTATGGCAGAGCTACCATGTTCTTACCATTTGCACTTCTCAACATACTCACCTCTTCCAGGTCTTTGTTACCTTGCAGATTCCCTCTCTAGGGGCCTTTTTTGGCCATTACATTTACATCTCTCCTCTTGATAATGTTGATAATGTTAAGTTCTAATATGTTCTATAATTTATAATCATTATTATACATTAGTTATTACTTAGGACTAATAATAATAATTATTGTTAATTATTTTCCTTAAAAATAAAATCTTATAATAAATTTCAAAAGCAGAGAACAGTTTGAAAACAATAATCAAACATCTTTGTTGTGTGATTACAATGCTCAGAAATCTGTCATCAGTCACTTATGTAGATTATCTCTCTAGAATTTATAACAATTATGAATGGATGTTCCATAACCTCATTCTATAGTTGAGACACAGAACATGCAGGAAGGTAAAGGAGAATGTAAATATAGACTTGAAGAACAAAGGAATTGTATCAAAAATTAAATCTTATTCTCATTTCTGCTTACTGTCATCTAAGAGGAAATTATATATGTAAGTATATGCATATAATCTATGTTAAAATAAACACTAAGCTTGATTCTATTTTTCATATATTAATGGACTCTGGACACTATAAACTGCAATAAAAGATTAATTTCCCAATAATATTCTGAAAGCAAAATATATAAATATCAACCTTCAATTATAGCTGAGGCATAACTTAGGTATTACTGCACATTGATCTACAAAATACCTTAATAGCTGCTATGAAGGTTTTGCTGAACTTTGTGTTTCTTAATATGTTGAGCTTGAAACTTGTCGTAAACATATTTCTGCTTTCTATAAGTATATTGCTGAGTTTCACTTCAGCAATAATACAAGAACCATAAAATCCTCATTACATAAATAACAACCAATATGTGTTTCATCGGTCTAACTCAAGAATCATACACTATAAAAGCATGATAAACTCCATCAAGAATTATAAACATGAATTAGATTCTTAGTGGGAGCTCTGCTTTCATTTCCTGCTTTCTTCAATGAAGAATAAAACAAAATAAAATCATATTAAGAAAAATGTAATAACTCTGAATGTTTTCTCGAGGTAATCAATTCATATTCTTCCATGATGTTCTCAGTGAACACATAGATACATCAACTCTGAAGTTTGCATCCAGATTAAACTAGAATGGGACATTCTGGAGATGATAGCCCAGACATCATTATTCAGATGGACGGACATTCTAGATATGTGCCTGCCTTTTCTGTCACCTTCCTTTCTGCAAGTGTTCAGACAGTACAGATATACTTGACGACACTCGGGATATTGCCTGAGGGGCCCTAGTTCACAGCACAGAGGGCACTATAACAGATGACTGCAGTATCCAACAGATCCCTGTCTGCAGCTGATGGTCCAAACTAAGTCTGGAATGCTTTGTTCAAAGCTTAGCTTACATGAGGGCTGTGGGACCGTGAGACTGTGGGACCGAGAGCTGTGGGGTTTAGCCCTGCTTTCTGGGATGCATAGTGTGTTAAATATAGCAAATTAAATATAATGCCTTTATCATAGGCAGCCATTGATTTGGCAGATGTGTTCTTTTTGAGTCAATTAGAAAAGAAAAGGTTACTGTTTGTTATTTTGGTTGCCCTGTGTCTCCTATATACATTTATCTGATTTGCGGAAGGGAGGGGCATCACAAAATGGTGAGACAAAGGACAAAGTGTGAACCAACGCGAAGCTCACAAGACACTATGTCGGAAATGAACTATACAGCTTTCGGGGAAGTTGAGTGGGGGCGGGGGAGGGAAATTAGGAGAAAAGGAGGGAAGGGGTAACAATGTTCCACCAGAAAAGTCTCCTTACCTTGCGTGCATAACTGTAACCCCTCTGTACATCACTCTTACAATAAATAAAAATATAAACTGGGCACACCTTTAATCCTAGCTACTCAGGAGGCTCAAGTGGTAGAGCGCTCGCCTTGAGCTGAGGAGCTGAGGGACAGCACCCAAGCCTAGAGTTCAAGCCCCATGACTGACACATTAAATAAATAAGTAAATATTAGAAATATTTAAAAAGGACTGGAAACCATTTACATTTGTGACAATGCAAGGCTGTTAACATTAACTGTGCTATTAATTAAGAAAGAGCTGGGTCAGTAACACACATGGGCTGTAGCGCACAGCACCCATGGGTCTGAGTTATGATCCAGGAGGTGTGATGGGAACAGTGGACAGAGAGATGCTGGGAGCAATACCTGGGGTAGGTCTCTATTCAGGAGGAAAATCAATGCCATGCCAAAGGGAATGTCACATCCTGAAATATAACCATCTTGATCATTAGAACTTAATTCAGAGGGATGGTAATGTTATAGCTCTAAAACATGGCTAGTGCACCCCTATGCTGCCATAGGTGTCTGATCTTTATAAATGACCCTTCACTTTTTTTTTGTATCAGTACTGGGCTTGAATGCAGAGCCTTGGTGTTGTCCCT